GACGTGATAAGCAAAATGTGACGTCTTGTAACAGGTGAGAATCTACGAACACAAAGGTCGATGGAAAAAGCTGTCCAGGCAACAGTACACAATATAATCAAGAAGGATTTCCGACATAAGTTCCTTTCATAACTTATTTATTCAAACATCTCACACGTCAAGGAGCTGGGGAATAAAACTGGTATTCATGCTATTCTATGTCGTCTATGGATTTCTGTGTGATCGAACTGTTGAACGAATGCTGAGAAATTGTCGTCCTGATACGTTAGGTGGCTTATGGAAAGCATGCAGGGAGAATGGATGTGCTTTAAACATAAAAGTCTTGAGACGGAGCCTTTTACAAAGGAAATTACTCTAAAGATGTGCGGTCGTCAGATAGACGTAGCGACTTGGACTGTAACGACGTTGTGAGGCTCCAAAATCGTTGTAATATAACGTACTCATATTTTGTAATCAACATGTTCGCAGACTAACTTCCACTTGATTATTCAGTTCATTTATTGAGTAGTATAGTTCTCAATTAAATAAAAAATGTTATATTCATACATTAATTTACATGTCTACTTAATTGAGATGTAATTAGTCGACAGTAAAGCTATTCACAAGACATAAACATACCTGTGTTATACCTTGTAGTACTTATGCCATTGAGTTAGTGAGTGGTATGAAATACTACTATTATATTTAAAAGTAAACTGGTACAATACGACTTAATCACAGTTTACGCCACTGGATACAAATATATTATCTTTGACAGTCTAACTTATGCTCAACCAAGTTGTATAATTAGCAATTACTTCAATAATTCGGTTTGCTAACTAACTTATGCTCATTAATGGCAAACGTTTATTGTTTGTTGAGAGGATAAATTACAGTAACGATGCTGTTTTGTTAATAACCAGTAACGTTTCTCGTTAGTTACGAATATATTCATTGTCCAATTTACACTCCCACTTTAACGTACCGTTTAATTGATTAAACATATTTCTCATTAGATACAAAATATTACATTTAAAGACTGGATCATATTCCCATTTAATGACGCAGATAGGTTTTTAATTGATGATCATTGTTTTCGTTAGCTTCAAATACGCTATTATCTAAACCAGTGTTTAATGGCGCGTTCTTTATTAGAAACAAATGTAAAATATTCTCTCTAGGATGAATCCAAATTAACAATAACTTTACTCTGCCCCCTGGTAGCGCGGCAGTAAGTCCGTGGGCTTATAACGCTAAAAATCGGAAACTCATCACGTAGCTTTATACTTTACAACGCTTACACTGTCGCATCTGATGTGAAACAATAAGTTAGACTACTTTTTAATGAGTTTATAAGCATCATATGACTGGAATATGGTTTTTGAGCCATATATATGTTTAAAAAGAGAAATTAAAAACCCTTATGCTTAGCTCGGGCTTCTATACGAAAAAAAGAATTTCGCTGTTTTACGTCTGGTACTGCAGCACTGGAACTGATAGATTAGGTTGCGTCCCAGTACTCACGTGAAGATGAGAAAGTCCTTTATTATACCAATCGTCCTCCAAATCCTGACGAAATCCAGCAATGTTGACTGCTTGTGCCATCGCGAAAGGGTGAGCAGTCATCTGTGAATAGGAAGACGACGTTATTGGTTGAAAGTGTGTCGCACTGACGGAGCCAATGGAATTAGGAGATGGATAACAGTATGTCCGAGAATTAGGTGAAACAGAGTAAATGTTACTTATTGGTGATCCGTTGCACCCTGGAAACATGGAAGGAGCTGAAAATAGCTTCTGTAGTTGCTTTTCCTGCTTGCGATACTTGGCTCTTCTGTTCTGAAACCACACCTGCCAAATGAAATTCAAATTAATATAAATAAGGAAAAGTAAAATCTCATTGGGTGGAAAGTATAAGTATCACAACAAAGCTAATGTCACTTTAATTCTTATCAAATACCTATGTCCCCTCCCCTCCGTGGCTTATCGGCAAGTTTGTAGGTTTATGTGCTAAATATCGAAGTTCGATACCCGTTACGGGCAAAGCGCACATAGCTCAATGTGTAGCTTTGCGTTTAAATAAAAAACAAAAGAAAGAATAAAAAAGAGAACAGTTCTTTGATAATACATTGAGCATTAAATTTATAATATTTAAGTTAAACTGGCATGACTCCTCCTACATTTAATTATTATTTGTACAAATTTAAGTCATTATTCAGGAATGTAAACTCAGCTTCTTTTTTTTTTATTGTTGTTGTTGCGAAAAACGTTAATCTTTGTACTGTAACCTATGGCGTTAGGGGAATATTTAAGGAGAAACAGAGACAACTGGATTCGATCCCACGATTTTACTTAGAAAAAAGAGTGTTTATAAATCATATTTATCTTTTTTTTAATATTTATTTTTGAATTAAGAAATGAAATAATGTATAATACTAACATTTGAATTAAAAACTCCATAATAGTAATAGTTTAATAAAGTTTTGAATGTAAATCTACAGTACGTGATGACTTTACTTGAATGGAAAGGGATTCGATCCCACGACTTTGCTAAGAGAATATTTAACAAAGGTTCCCCAGCTCAAACGCTGTAATTATCAGTTTTCACATTATTGGTTATTAAGCCTAGACTATGGCTTAATGTTTTATTTCTGTGACTTTTAGTCCCTGTGCATTCACTTATACAAGCAAATGAAAAGATAACTAACTACCGTATTTTTCGGTGTATAAGACACACTTTTTTACCACAAAATTTGATGAGAAAATCTGCTTGCGTCCTATACACCGACGGTATGAATAATATATATGTATATATACGATATACACAAGCCATGTGTAAATATCAAAATAGGCATGCATAGTCTAGTTTTTTTATCTTTTAAAAACATAACTATTTATAATGCTCTCTAAATAATAATAAAAAAAAAATCACAGTGAAAGCAATGAAGATTTTGTAGGTTTGGAACCAAATTAAATAACAGTAAAACTTTTTTTGATTTATGATATTTTCTTATTTTTGATGTTTTGAGTTCTTTTGTGTTTAGAACAATATATACTAATTTTTAAAGTATCAAATTGAAATTTTGTTCAATAAAAATCTTTCAAATGCGACTGTAGCTTTTTTTCCCCAAAACTTTGTCTTCAAAATAAGGGTGTGTCTTATACTCCGGTGCATCTTATATTCCGAAAAATACGGTATATGATAACCATACTTCTCATTTTATGAGTATATTTTACGACTGTGTTGTTCGACTTCTATGTGACAACGGCCGGGAGTGTCCTAGCGGTTAGCGTGCCCAGCTGCAAATCGGAAGATCTGAGATTTGAAATGCGACATGCCACTGAATACGCTCTGTAATTTCACTCGTAGGGCATAATAACTGTGTCAGTCATTCCCTGTATTGCAAGTAAAGATTATCCAAATAGATGGTGGATGCTCTGCCAATTTCTCTCTGTTTGAGCCTCGGGATCTTGGATCTGGCAATTTAACTCATGTCTTATATAAGTTGCTGTTCATGCTGAAAACACTAAAAATGTATTATTTGGCAAGTTGTCCAGAACAATAGAGTTAATGATGTATTATAAAAACCTTAGCCCTCCAGTGGCACAGCAGCATGTCTGTGGACTAACAACGCTATAAACCGGGTTTCCATACCCGTGGTGGGCAGAGCACAGATAGCCCATTGTGTAGCTTTGTGCTTAACTTCAAACAAACAAACAAAAACCTTAAACCTGGGTAACGTGAAGATATTAGAATAGTTAAAGTTGTGCTCTAATTTAGTTTTATGATCAATTAAGATACATCCATAAAGAAAAAAATACTGTTAGATTTAGTAGTTATATAGCAGCATATCTCATTTATCTTGTACGCAGTTCTATACCAAAATTATTGCGAGAAACGTTAGGATTATTGTTTGTTTTTGAATTTCGCGCAAAGCTACACGAGGGCTATCTGCGCTAGCCGTCCCTAATTTAGCAGTCTAAGACTAGAGGGAAGGCAGCTAGTCATCACCACCCACCGCCAACTCTTGGGCTACTCGTTTACCAACGGATTGACCGTCACATTATAACGTCCCCACGGCTGAAAGGGCGAGTATGTTTGGTGGGACAGGGATTCGAACCCGCGACCCTCAGATTGCGAGTCGAGCGCCTTATCCACCTGGCCATGCCGGGCCCATTAGGATTATGCTCTAAATTTAATGTGCTGTGCCGTTGTTACTTACAAATACTTGCACTATATATTGTGAACAAATGTTTGAAATGAAATCAAAAGTGTGGCCCATTGATTAATTTGTCGTACTCTGAACCTGAGGACCCGGTGTTCGCGTCCTGTTGCCGTAAGATATGCGCCTGTTTGGATGAGCGTACAGGTGATGTTCTATTGGTGGAATAATCCTTGTGAAGCACAAAAGCAAAGCATTATCAAGTGATAATCTGTTTCGGTGTTTATGTGTAATGATTGTCATTCTTAAGAACTCTAATTCACACAAATAATGCAAGAGTTTTGTTTGTTTATTTGCTGGATTTCGTGTAAAGCTACACGAGGGCAACCTGCGTTTGCCGTTCCTAGTTTATCTAGAGTGAAGGCAGCTAGTGAACACCACCTACCGTCAACTTTTGGGCCACTCTTGTCAGACCAAATAATATGACTTGACGCCACTCTTATAACGCACTTACAGCTGCAAAGTGCTCAGCGCTACCTCACCTCCATAGTCCGGTAAGCTGACCAATGTGCTGGGCTCTACCAAAGGTAAAGATAATGGACATAATTATCATTAGTATTGCCAATTGCAGTTGCGTGTGTGAAGATGTGCGGA